CCCCCCCCCCCCCCCCCCCCCCCCCCGACCGCCCCCCCCCCGCCACTCACCTGAGCCGGGAAGCCGGGCGACGCTCGGGCAGGGCAGCCTCGCCGGGAGCTGGCTCCTGATGCGACTTGTTCCCTTCCCGAGGAAAGGGGAAGATCCCTGTGCCCTCCCGGTGCTCCAGGGACGGGGCGCCTGGGGCCATTTGCCACCTGCCCTCCCGGTGCTCCAGGGACGGGGCGCCTGGGGCCATTTGCCACCTGCCCTCCCGGTGCTCCAGGGACGGGGCGCCTGGGGCCATTTGCCACCTGCCCTCCCGGTGCTCCAGGGACGGGGCGCCTGGGGCCATTTGCCACCTGCCCTCCCGGTGCTCCAGGGACGGGGCGCCTGGGGCCATTTGCCACCTGCCCTCCCGGTGCTCCAGGGACGGGGCGCCTGGGGCCATTTGCCACCTGCCCTCCCGGTGCTCCAGGGACGGGGCGCCTGGGGCCATTTGCCACCTGCCCTCCCGGTGCTCCAGGGACGGGGCGCCTGGGGCCATTTGCCACCTGCCCTCCCGGTGCTCCAGGGACGGGGCGCCTGGGGCCATTTGCCACCTGCCCTCCCGGTGCTCCAGGGACGGGGCGCCTGGGGCCATTTGCCACCTGCCCTCCCGGTGCTCCAGGGACGGGGCGCCTGGGGCCATTTGCCACCTGCCCTCCCGGTGCTCCAGGGACGGGGCGCCTGGGGCCATTTGCCACCTGCCCTCCCGGTGCTCCAGGGACGGGGCGCCTGGGGCCATTTGCCACCTGCCCTCCCGGTGCTCCAGGGACGGGGCGCCTGGGGCCATTTGCCACCTGCCCTCCCGGTGCTCCAGGGACGGGGCGCCTGGGGCCATTTGCCACCTGCCCTCCCGGTGCTCCAGGGACGGGGCGCCTGGGGCCATTTGCCACCTGCCCTCCCGGTGCTCCAGGGACGGGGCGCCTGGGGCCATTTGCCACCTGCCCTCCCGGTGCTCCAGGGACGGGGCGCCTGGGGCCATTTGCCACCTGCCCTCCCGGTGCTCCAGGGACGGGGCGCCTGGGGCCATTTGCCACCTGCCCTCCCGGTGCTCCAGGGACGGGGCGCCTGGGGCCATTTGCCACCTGCCCTCCCGGTGCTCCAGGGACGGGGCGCCTGGGGCCATTTGCCACCCGCCCTCCTGGTGCTCCAAGGCCAGGGCTGCGCACACCCTTCCCTCCCCATGGTGCTGGGGGCGGGGCTGGGGGCTTGCCTCTACGCTCTCGGCACGGGCTGTGCCCTTAGGCAGGTGTCTAACCCCACTCGCGTGGCAGTGCCACGGCCGGGCAGGGAAGCTCTCGGACACACACTCACGTGCGCGGTGGTTTTTGCTTTTGCCAACACGCAAGGAA